CTCTGATTGACTTATTTCGCTTGGCACAATATGCTCCAGTTCCATCCACGTCGATGTAAGTGGTAGTTATTCATCCTTTCTGATGGCTGAGGAATATTCCATTGTGTGCATATACCACATCTTCTTTATCCATTCATCTGTCATTGGACATCTTGGCTCTTTCCACAATTTGACTATGGTGGCCAAAGCTGCTATGAACATTGGGGTGCAGGTGCCCTTTAGGATCACTATATTTTTTATCTTTGGGGTAAATATGTAGTAGTGCAATTGCTGGGTCATAGGGTAGCTCTATTTTTAACTTCTTGAGGAACCTCCATACTGTTTTCCAGAGTGGCTGTATCAACTTGCATTCCCACCAACAGTGTAAGAGGGTTCCCCTTTCTCTGCATCCTACCAACATTTGTTGTTTCCTGTCTTGTTAATTTTAGCCATTCTGACTGGTGTGAGGTGGTAACTCATTGTGGTTTTGATTTGTATTTCTCTGATGCCAAATGATATGGAGCATTTTTTCATGTGTCTGTTGGCCATTTGTATGTCTTCTTTGGAGAAATGTCTGTTCATCTATTCTACCCATTTCTTGACTGGATTATTTGTTTATTGGGTGTTGAGTTTGAGAAGTTCTTCATATATCTTGGATACTAGTCCTTTATCTGATATGACATTTCCACATATCTTCTCCCATTCTGTTGGTTCTCTTTTAGTTTGTTGACTGTTTCCTTTGCTGGGCAGAAGCTTTTTATCTTGATGAAGTCCCAATTGTTCATTTTTGCTTTTGTTTCCCTTGCCTTTGGAGACATGTCTAGCAAGAACTTGCTGGGACCGAAATCGAAGAGATTGCTGAGAACACAGGTTCTCCTCTAGGATTTTGATGGATTCCTGTCTCACATTTAGGTCTTTCATCCATTTTGAGTTTATCTTTGTGTATGGTGTAAGAAAATGGTCCAGTTTCATTCTTCTGCATGTGGCTGTCCAGTTTTCCCAACACCATTTGTTGAAGAGACTGTCTTTTTTCCATTGGATATTCTTCCCTGCTTTGTTGACCACAGAGTTGAGAGTCCATTTCTGGGCTCTCTATTCTGTTCCATTGATTCATGTGTCTGTTTTTGTGCCAGTGCCATACTGTTTTGATGATTACAGCTTTGTATTATAACTTGAATCTCAATGGGGAAAAACTGAGAGCATTTCCCCTAAGGTCAGGAACAGGGCAGGGATGCCCACTCTCACCACTCTTGTTTAACATAGTACTAGAAATCCTAGCCTTAGCAATAGGACAACAAAAAGAAATAAAAGGCATTCAGATTGGCAAAGAAGTCAGACTCTCACTCTTTGCAGATGACATGATACTTTATGTAAAAAACTCAAAATATTCCACCCCAAAATTGCTAGAACTCATAGAGGACTGCAGCAAAGTGGCAGGATATAAAACCATGCACAGAAATCAGTTGCATTTCTATACACTAACAATGAGAAGGAAGAAAGAGAAATTAAGGAATTGAACCCATTTACAATTGCACCAAAAACCATAAGATACCTAGGAATGAACCTAATGAAAGAAGTAAAGGATCTGTATTCCAAAAACGACAACACTTATGAAAGAAATTGGGGAAGACACAAAGAAATGGGAAAACATTCCATGCTCATGGACTAGAAGAATAAATATTGTTAAAATGTCTATGCTACCCAGGGCAATCTACACATTCAGTGCACTCCCCATCAAAATACCATCAGCGTTTTTCACAGAGTTGGAACAAATAATCCTAAAATTTGTATGAAACTAGAAAAGACCCTGAATAGCCAGAGGAATGTTGAAAAAGAAAACCAAAGCTGGTGGCATCACAATGCCAGACTTCAAGGTATATTATTAAGCACATTTTAGAGAAGTCTCATCATTAAAAATGTGTGGCTCTTTGGAGAGATCTTCATCACTAATATAGCATCGTTGAAGATTGAGTCCATGGGGCTCATCAGGCTTGGATTAGTGAAATGATAAGGGTAGTTAACTTTCTGAGGAATAATCTATCAAAAATCTGATAACATGACCAATGCTCATAAATTAGATGCAAAATGAATAAAGAAGTTATAGTGAAAAGTTGCACAAAGTTTGGAACATAAAATTAAGGTCAAAAACAACCTAGATTTTAAATGCTTGAAGCTCTATAGGATAAATCCACTGATGGTCATTGTCTTGAATTAGAGAACTTAGGGGTGTTTGAAGGGTTTAAGTAGCATTCTTCCATCTTTATTTGGGCCACGGTGGAAGCCAGTAATCCATATTGGACATGTCTCTTTTTTGTAGATGCTGATAGGTCAGCTCAGATTTGTGGCCTTCCTTCATTTCTCCATCATTGACTCTTTCTTTCTTTCTTTTTTTTTTTTATTCTTATGTTAATCCCCACTTTTAGAAGACATAAGAAGTTACTTTGGACTATATAGGTTTAAGAAATAAATGAGATAGCATCAACCCTGAATCATTTAAGACCAGGAAAGAGAGTATATTAGTTTATCCATTGCTACATAACAAGTTTCCCCAAAACCTACTGGCTGAAAACAATACAAATTTGTTATCTCATACTTTCTATGAGTCAGGCATTAGGGAGAAGCTCTGTGGTTTGGTTCTTGTTCAGGGTCTGCCATGAGATTGTGATTGAGATATTTGCCAAGACTGCAGTCATCCAAGGCTTGGCTGGGTGAAAAGCTCTGCTTCCAAGTTCATTCCTAGGGTTGGTAACAGGACTCAGTTCCACCCTGGCTGTTGGCCTCAGTTGCTCTTCACACAAGGACCTGTCTGTAAGGAAGTATGAATGTCCTCACAAAATGGTAGCTATCATCTCCCAGAATGAACAATCTAAGAGAAAGAGTGTGAGGGAGAAGTCACAAGGTCTTTTATGACCTATTTTGAGAAGTAACATACCATCACTCCTGCCATATGCTATTGGTCACATAGACCGACCCTGATAAAACATGGAAGAGAAATATACAAGGGTATGAATACCAGTACATGAGGATCATTGGGGCTATGTTGGAAGCTGCTTACCACAGAGGGAGCGATCTAGAGAAGCAGCAAACTTGATTTTAATAGATGTGGGTGGTCCAAAATATTTGGCTATAGGACTAGGACTTAAGAGTCACATTTTTCATTTTGTTTTCATATTCCCAGTGAACATGTTCATACTTTGAAAATTTCTCTGTACCTAAACCAGTGGATTTGTAAATACTATCATTCTGTTCCCCGACCTCATAGGAATGATGTTGTAAGAAATGGTCATACCAGTGTATGTTGGTGTTATATAGAAGGGAGATATTTTACAATTTCCCTTTTAAAATCCACATGTAAAGAAAGTTCAGCTACCTCTGCTGAGTTGGCATGTACTAGCTATCAGCAATACCTTATCTAGAAGCTTGGGTTTTTGCTTCACTTTGAATGACCACTTTACAGGTACCCTTAGGCTTGGTGACAGTACTTGAGCAGCCTCAGGGATTGGGAAGATTGACTTGTTGTCTAGCCCTTAGATTTCTTTGTGAAAATTCACATAATATGGGGATGGCACTGAACTACACAAAACTGGAAGCTATGGCCTTGCTCCACGTAAAGAGTTACATCAATTGATTTATGTGTCTGGAACCATTCTCATAATTTCCAATGCTGGGATATTAGATGGATGTAACTTCCAAACAATCACTTGTATATATAAAAAAAAATGAAACAAAAATAAACAAAGATACAGGTAGGCCTCAAAGACTAACTCAGGGTAGTTTACCTTGTATTTTTGCCTATCACTCATTCATGGGAACATACTTCCTGATCTACCTTAGTCCACATTGTTTGGGATGCATTTAGCAAGAGGCCCTGAGATCCACATGTACTCATCTTCAGGGTTACTTTCCTTCTCAACACAGCAGATTTTTCAGGCAGAGTCTGGATGCGATCCACCAGTGATTGCAGGCTATCAAAACAGATCTGAGTTTGAGGCTAGTCCTCAGGGCGCCCTCCTTTTTCTTATGCTCACATCAGCCTTGCTGAGAATTCGCATGGGCCCCTCCACTTTCTTTAGCTTTCATGTTCTTTCTGAGGCAGCTGCTCAATGGAAGACTTTCTTTGGGAACATATTCATTATCCCAAATCTAATGCCTCTGTCAGTTTGGGGGGACAAAAAGATGACTAAGTTGATTAAGTGACAAACTGAGGCAAAAGAAGTTAGAAGAACCAGTCTACCTTATCAGTATGGTACCTCCAGGAGGACAGTGAGCTCAACCACTGAACTGCTTTTTAGAGGAGTACAGGTTACCCACCAATCACCATCTTGCCTCAAGAACAGTGATTTTTCCTTACTTATTTACTACAGAATCTGCTTCAACTTGAAACTTTTAAACCATAGCTCAAAACAATAACTACTTTAGAAAACTTACCAAGGTCAAGATAGGTATCAGGGCAGCCTAACAGGAGGAACTGAGAATTCACCTGAGAAGTCTCTCTAGACCATTCTTGGAAAACCCCAGGCTGGTACTGCTCGATCATACCATTTTATATTAAGAATCTTTTTTTTTTTTTTTTTTTTTGAGGGAGAGGGGGAAGTGTAGGGGGAGAGGGAGAGAGAGCGAATCTTAAGCATGCTCCACACTCAGTGTGGAGTCTGACATGTGGCTCCATTTCATGACCCTGAGATCATGACTTAAGCCAAAATCAAGAGCCAGACGCTTAACTGACTGAGCCACCCAGATGCCCCTATATTCAGAATCCTAAGTACCAAACCATTAGGGGGAAAATTTTGAATTTTCAGGAGCACTAATGTACCAGAAATCACTAGGGTCAGGAAACTGGTAGACCAGAAAATCCTACCAAATGCTTAAAAATAAGAGGAAGGCCTGTAGAATTGAAGAGAAGATGTAGAAATAATTGGGGACATTTGGGTTATATTTGGTATTACATGGTTTGGATATTTTCTATACATCCTCCAGATGAACAAAACAAAATTTATTTATTTTTTTATTCCCAACTATAGCAAAAAACCTATCAACCTAATATTCCTCAAAGTTGCATTGAGAGAACATCTGTCTCATCAAAGCCCCTCAGCTAAGTGTTATTCTAGAGGAGCACCTAACTCTTTCTGAAGGTAACACACACATTCTTTGCATGTCCTGCTAATTAAAGCTTTCTGCAATGACAAGATGGTATTGTGGAATGACTTTTTAAATTGTTTTTTCAAGGAACTGACAATGTTTAATTAGGCTTCAGCTAACAGACTTTAAGTTAAGACAAATGGCTCTGCCCTGGCTAATTGTTAGCATATGCTGATCTGGGAGCATCTGACTATAGTGGGAGTCTGTCCCTTGTGAATTATGCTGTGGTTGGCTAAAATGACCCAGACAGGCTCATTTGTCCCTGCTTGCCAGCACCCAAACCACCTTCTTGGGTTGAGTAATCCCCTCAACCACATTGCCTGGGTTTACCCATTCCGAGTTCAAGCTACACTGGTATGGATTGAAAACCTAGGATTTTATTATGAAATAAATCAATAATAACAACTTTTATTTGTCAAAAGGAGGCTTACATCCATTATGTCAGAAGGCCTTAGAAAACATACCACATCAGACCTGGAACGAATCTCAGAGAATGTTGTTCCAACACACCCAGTTTGACATGAACGAATGAAGGAGCAGAGAGGAGGAAGGACTTGCCCAAAGCCACCAGATTTTAGAATGGGGGCTAAAACCTAGGCCTTGTAATTTTGAGTCTCCTGCTTGTGTCCCCCCTTCTGTCCTCTTCCCATTCCATAAATTGCATTAAAACTATGACAAACTCCAACCCCTTCAGGATAAGATGTCAGGAAGGCTTCAGGTGAGCAGATGGGGATGAACCTTTCTGATGGGCAGACAGGTGTGGCCCTTCACCCCCGACAGCACTGGCTGTGGGTGGCCTGTCTCTTGTCACTTCTCCATGGGGGAGAAACAAACCAAACAGTGTAAATCTTTAGAAAAAGACAGGAGACATTCAGAGCAAAATTTGATAAAAAGGGAATAATAAAAAATGAATGATATTTTTAGTTTAAAAATGCATAAATAAAGTAATTAGAGATGGTCACTTCAGATATTTATGATAATGGGAAGGTAGGCTGATTGTCAGTTGTCCTACCAACTGATGAAGTAACAAACGTTAAAAGAAGTTCTCATCCGGGCGCCTGGCTGGCTCAGTTAGAAAAGCATGTGATTCCTGATCTCGGGGTCGTGAGTTTGAGCCCTGCATTGGGTGTAGAGGTTACTAAAATAATAAAAAATAAATAAATAAATAAAATCTTCATGAAAATTAAGTGTGTCTTTGATATACAAATAAGATTGACATGACAAGAAGAAATTTGTGATTTGGGGAATATGTAAGAAAAATGGGTAAGAAAGAGCTAAAGCATGTGTTGATTATATTTAGTTGAATATTAATTATAGTTTACAGTAATTTTATTTTCACTAGTCCTGGTTTGCCAACCTATGTGTTACTGGAAATGAGATAAATGTTCTACATAGATTGCTTGAGGCTGATTAAAGACAGGACTTTCTGTGCAGTCTGCCACAAAGACAGTTTCAATTGAAGACCAGAATAGAAGTGGCATGGTTAACAATTTCACATTTATTTTCAAAAGCAATGCAATTTCCTTTTCCAAACTGCAAAGCAAAATAAAAAATGGTGTTACTCTTGCCGAAACACTTTTGCCACCTGCCTTTAACTCTTGATTGCTAGCAATATTTTAGGTTCCTAATTAATGTCCAGAAAAAAAATAGACCACCAAATCAAAGAATAAATAATTTTATTGGATATAAAAGCATTATAACCAACGGGACTGGGAATTTCATTAAATGTGCCTGGATAGAAGTTTAAAAAAAAAAGTTGTGGAAAATAAAACTCAGGAGGCTGGAAAGAAAGATGGAAACCTTTCCCTCCATGTGCCATTACAAACTTGGCTCTGGATCGGTCTTCTAGAGGGGAAACTCAATTGGCACCTACGTGTTTTCCTGCAACAAGACTCCAAGGCTGCATCTATTAAGTACTCTGTGGTCATAATGATACCATTCGGTGATTCCTACCCTCCTGATTGGTTTATAGAAGCTGAAAAACCCTGTTTGCAATATAACAGAGATGAGCATAGCAGCTAACTCTTTTGATTTGCCTATGGGATAGTTAGAATATTAAAATAATTTCTATGCCTTGGACACAGAAACTTCATAAGTTTAGTTTCTATTTCAGTTTTGAAAGAGATTTGTTTAGAAATTGTGATAGATTTTAATTCAAACCGATCATTAGTCTAACCTTTTCTGCCTCACTGGGCAAAACTCTGTGTTAGTTTGCTAACCCAAATAACCTAATCTTTTCTTCAGGTAGATATAATTAATCTAGGTGAAAGTCCATGTCTTTGGGCTCAAACCAGACTGCCTGGTTAAATTTGGGCTCCACCTTTGTTTGTGACGTGGAGAGATTGGTTAACCTCTCCATGTCTCTCTCTTTTCATCTATCGACTGCCTGGGTGAGTAATAAGCAAGATGATATCTGCAAAGCAATGACACGGTGCCTAGCATGGAGTAAGTATCCCATAAATGTCCCTTGAGATGGTGGTGATGTGGGGCCTTCAACAACCCCTCAGTAGTACCCTATGCCTCATTTATGAAAGTTCTCATTCTGCAGTGTTGTGGTTGCTCACTTAACCATTTTCCTTTACAGTCTGTAGGCTCTATGAGGGTAGGGACAGTGTATTTCTTATTTCTTGATTCATCACCAATTGATCCCAGCACCTCCTCTGGCATGTAGGAGGTTCTAATAAATAATTTTTAATAAATGAATAATTGACACATGGTAGTTTAGGGAAGAGGACTTACAGCTCATTGTGGGGACTCTGGGAAAGTCACCCCATCTCTTTGAGACACAGGTCCCTCAGTTGCCAATGGGAATAAGAGATTTGGATCATTAGCATAAAAGTGTTTTGTAAAGTTTATGTTTTTTTGTTTTTGTTTTTTTACAAAGGTAGGGGATGGTTAATAAGGGAAGTATGGCAAAGTGAAAATAGGTACTAATGATTTACTTCTAGAAAGGTTATATAATCTAGTAGTATCGAACTAAAGCTTAGTCCTGTTATGGCCCAATACATAACCCTCTGTCCGAAGACTTGCAAACTTCAAGAAAATGGCTTTCTAAACCTTAAAAACCTCTAGATATTCCCTAATTGGGGGATATCCAGATTCAGATTAGTCTGAAGAGCAACTGAAGGTCATCTACAACATCCACTGATCAATGTCTAAGAACCTGTGGCTTGTGCACGAGCTGCTTGGACTTCTCAAATGAGGGATGTTTGTCAGGCCTCGGTGCTCACATGGCGGGTCCACCCAACAGATATCATGTCATCCTTCTAATCATTCTCTCTCCCGGGAAGCCCCATGTTCATGGCAGGATAGCCAGAACTGTACAGATCCATTTTTTCCCATTTCCAATTCACCTCAGCAAGATAGAGAGACTGACTCCATCTCCTTAGCTGTGCTCCTCTCCATTGATGTGTGTCTTAGGTAAAAAAGTCACTGGTTATTATAAAGTCACTGACTCTTATAAAATACTAACATCTTAAGGGCATGTTCTCAATTAAACACAAGATTAAAAAGGGAAATCTTTTTTTTTTTTTTTAAAGATTTTATTTATTTATTTGAGAGAGAGAGAATGAGAGACAGAGAGCATGAGAGGGAGGAGGGTCAGAGGGAGAAGCAGACACCCCGCCGAGCGGGGAGGCCGATGCGGGACTCGATCCCGGGACTCCAGGATCATGACCTGAGCCGAAGGCAGTCGCTTAACCAACTGAGCCACCCAGGCGCCCAAAAGGGAAATCTTAATTAGAAATAAGAGTTCCAGTTAAAACAGGAAGCGTTAGCTCTTCTAGATAACATAAATATTCTAGCGCTGTTCTGCTTGACAATTAATTTCATAGAACTTCTTCTTTACACAGTCTACAAGTAGCGCTATAGACTATGTGCACTGTTCATAGTACATGGGGGTCTCACATGAAACAGAAGATAGTTGGCAAATAAAATAAGCATTTCATGAAAACAAAAAAATTAATTGATTTGATTTAACACTTGACAGTAACCCCCCCAAATGTCCAATTGAAGCAATGGCACTATATTGCTGCACTTCCATAGTACACTTAGATGCTAAGCATAGCACATTTAAGGAAAATAATTAAAATCGTAAATAAATATATTGAAATGTTACATAAGCTACAGCAGGCTACTAGGATTTACTCTCACTTTATGATACTTTCTATAAACTGACAAGAGCACTTGAAACAAGTGAAGGAAAACCTTTCATCTTCTGGTAAAAAAAAAAAAAAAAATCCCTTAGAGACAAAATGTAAAATACAAACCACAATCTCCTTACTGGATAAAGCATATAATTTTCCTCCTTAGGTGTCCACGTGGATTGAAAACAGCTGCCAAGCCTACTTAATTATGGACCCTTAGAGTCAAAATAGAAATGATGGATTTTCGTTTTGATAGCAACCACACCGAGTGTTTATTTAGCAAGCGTGGCTAATTATTCTAGTTCTTACTTGAAAATTTCCCGCAGAATTGGTTGCATATTGTTCATGAAAGGCTGTGATCTCAGTACTCAGCATTTTAGGGTCTCTTTTTCCTCCCTATTTTTTTTTTTTTAGATGAGACTTTTCTCCAAATGTAAAAAGTGATTTCTCGCCCACTGGTGCACAAACACTAATTCCATCTGCAGAGAAAGAGACGTATGAAGGTGTTGATGGAAAAACTTGTATGTTTCAGGGCAGAGGTCTGAAAGCAAAATGTCCTGGTCAGCACCTCGGGGGGTCACTTTTACAGCCAACATTTCTCATTCCAATTCTTTAGTCTTTTATTGTGAAACACTGAAGCCGCGGCAGTGGTTCTCCATGGAAACCATTCATTTCCTAGAGGTAAGGGATGGAGGCGCCCACACTATCTGCTGGTCTGCAGAACACAGAATAAGGCAAAACTTCAGGCTCCTAAATTCAAAGCTAGAAAAAATAACTTGCTACTACGAGAGCACTTGAATATTTTGGAAGCATTTTCATTTTATTAATCTTGTTTGAGCATCACAACA